TTTTTAGTATTGATTGTGTTTCTCACATATGCGGTCTAAAGTAAAAATTTTTAATATTGTTTATATCCGGTTGAATTTAATATCATTAAATTGTTGATTTTTTCTTATATAAATGTGCTAGAAATAAGTCTAGAAATAAGTATATATGTATACTTATGATGCTGTAGTATGTTATACATTGTTGCAAAATTATAATCTTTTTCTCTATTTTTTTTTTTTAGAAGACACTTTCTCCAAATCCGGTCGGATATCCAGAAAATCCGGTATCCAGTAATTTTACGATCCGGTGCATTTCTAATTATATTACATATAAATTATATTATATATTATAAATTATATAAATTATGATAAATTTATATAGAATGTATAAATTATATAATACAATCAGTGGTACAAAAGCAATTGCAATTTTTTTTGAGCATTTCTTGAGTTGTCGCAATTTTTTGAAAAAAATCATATATATTAAAGTTATATCTTATTCGTATATGCATTAAAATACGATGTCCAAAAATCATTATTATTTATTATTATAGCTTGTCGAAACATGTTTTCGCATGAAATTTTGCGGCAGGAGTTTTGGGTAAAAGCCTCTACAAATCTTCCGAATGTGCCAAGATAACTGCTTCAAAGTAAATATTCATGTTTCTCGAAGGTTTATCTTCATGATTGATCAGATATTTTCAATCGGATTATCTCTGCGGAAGAAAACCCAATCCATCTGTCGATGTCATTTTCACGTTTTACGTAAAAATCTCATAAAAAGTATGTCTTGTGAAAAACATGATGATAAGCTATAATCAATAATAATAATGATTGAACGCCATATTAAATAAATGCATTTTATACAATGTATTGTATCTTAGATATAATATGTATTTTCAAAACATAACTGTAATTTTTAGAATATTCAATTTTTTTCAAAAAACTGCTGTCGATTTCAAATATCTGCAACTAATATATAATTTTTATATACATAAAATAATATATATAAAAATATATTAATTTTTATATTATGTACATATTATATTATTTGTATATTATGTATACGCATATAACATATTTTTTCTACTACAAGAAAAAAAATTTTAAGATTACAATTTATTGTAGAAAAAGTCACAATTCAACATTGTTAAATGTGAGAATAGGAACCTACTATAATCAACGGATTATTAACAATTCATCTCTCATTCATTTGGGAGATTAATGGTTACTAATGGAAATTAATATCTTCTAGGTACCATGCAGCCTTGAGTTACATTTAAACGATCGTTTCTAGCAGATACGTACTCATCAAAGTCACTCATAACGAGTGTTT